CTCCTCTTTTTCCTCTTCCTCCTCCTCTTCCTCCTTTTTCTTCCTCCTCTTTCTCTTCCTCTTTTTCCTCTTCCTGCTCTTCTTCCTCTTTTTCATCCTCTTTTTTTCTCTTCCTCCTTCTCCTCCTCTTCCTCCTCCTCTCCTTCCTCTTCTTTTTCCTCTTCTTCCTCCTCTTTCTCTCCTCTTTTTCCTCTTCCTCCTCCTCTTCCTCCTTTTTCTTCCTCCTCTTTCTCTTCCTCTTTTTCCTCTTCCTGCTCTTCTTCTTCCTCTTTTTCTTCCTCTTTTTTCTCCTCCTCCTCTTCCTTCTTTTATCCATCCCTCGTCCCTCTAATCCCCACCAGTTCGACTCCTCTCAAAAGACCCCACTTGTTCCTTTGCGTTCGGCCACCAGAACAAACTTTTCTCCCCTTTTATTTCCCCCCCCCCCCACAATCTCCCCGTGCCGCAGTGTTACCGGGACCTGGCCTTGGTGAGCCGAGATGGGCTAAGCACCATATTGACCAAGATGAACCAGATTCTCATGGAGAAATACCTCAAACTGCAAGACACCTGTCGCACCCAGGTGGGAAGCGGGCTTCTGCCTTTCTCTGAGCCCTGAGAAGCGTGTGTATGTATGTGGGTGTGTGTGAGGGGGGGGCAAGGGGTGGATGTGGGGGGCAAATTAAGCCCAGAAGTGATTTTGGGACCCCAGGATCCAGCTTGGAGGCCCTTGTGGTCACCTGAAACCAGGTGTCCACTCATAAAATATTTCTAGGATGTTGTCAGAGTTGCCAACAGAAAGGGAGGGGGGAGCAGTGTGGCAGCTTGGAAACCAAAAGTGCATTCCATCCATGTTTTCAAAGATAGTAACTAGGCGACTGAAGTTTCTGCCATGCAAAATTCTAATTGGAGGATATGATGGATGACTCTGGGCTATGGAGGTGTCCCATTGGAGAATATGAATTAGGATACACCCAGGGGGTGGGAAGGGGGGAAACCAGGGTCAAGGGGGACAATGAATGATGTGCCTCAGAGTCCGCTACACCCAGGCAGTGCCGGACATGGTAACTCCCAATAAATCCTTTCGAAGTCTTGGAAGTTTGGCTCGAGACTCAGGATTTAAATGGGGGGGGGGGGGTAACTGCCGGAACCCTGACACCGTACGGCCCTTGGTGGAGGTCCCATTTTTTGGCGAGATTCTCTCCCCGCCAACAACCGGCGTTCACCATGGGAACGGCGGGCTCAGATTTAAGGAAGGAGATCGCGAAGAGGCCTCGCGAAGTTGGGAAAGGAGAACCAGGCGTTTGGGATCTCTAGCGTGGGTCCCGAGAGACGATCCCAAACCCCAACTTTTCTTTTTTTTTATTAAAAAAATCCCTTTTCTGCACTGCGATTTTAGTTTCAGAACATCGTCTAGTTTTGACTGAGCTGCGACACGGCTGCGACCGGGCGTCGACGCGGCCCCGTGCGCACGCCGTCCGGAGAGCCACACGGCAGAGTGATTACTCTTTCCTTTTTAGCTGGTTTGGCTGCTGCGCGAGATGGTGAGGAATGGGATCATCGGCATCGACGGGAATTGCATGACGTTCATGAAGCAGATCGCAGGTGGGTGCCCCGAGGGGGGAGAGGACGCTGGGGTTCGTTCCGAAATTCCGCCCCGGAGAGGTGAAACTGACTCGATCCTTGCCAGTTTCGCCTGGCTTCTTCTCACACCGGTGGATTCCTGATCTCTCTTTGGTATCGGCGGGGGGGAATTATTTCTCTTTAATTAAAAGAGAAATCATGAACTGGGCACACTGGGAGATTTTTCCAAACGCAGCAAAAGCCAGAGAGAAAAAAAATAATAAATATTTTATTCCGTTTATATGCTGCCCCGAAAGTTTTTATCAAACAAGCAAGGACTTGGCCGGTTGTCGGATTCACCCGGCAAAAGAGGTGAAACTGACTTGATCCTTGCCTGTTGGTCTTGCTTTTTTTCCTCAAACTTTTGAAATCTGATTTTCCTGTTAGTCCTCGACTTAAAAACAAATGTTCATTCAGCGACCGAAATTTTCTCACTCTTCCCCCCCCCCCAAGGCGGAGATGTCACCTCCAAGAACATCTGGCTGGCCGAAAACATCCTCGACATACTGACAGAGCAGAGGTAGGATCGCTCACCTGGTCAGAATAACCAGGTGACCCGAAAAAAAACCCCACCCAAGGGCCTAAAGACTCAGAAGCGGCCAAATCTTGCTTTTGTGGCGTCTTTTTTTTTTTTTCCATTTTTCTTCCCTTCCGCCCGGTTTTAACCGGCCCAAATCCTTCGTTTCCTTGACGTGTTGTTTTTTATTTTCCCGTTCTTTGGATCCGCCTGGATCTCCTCTGCGTGGAAGCAGGTGCTTTGCAACGCCGTTGAGAGTTTTAAAAGTGTTTTTATTTTTATTTTTTTTAACCTGTAGAAGCCATTTCTGTTTGGGAAAAAAAAATAAATAGCTGGTTGTTGTGGCAATGCCATCCGGTAGCTTAAGCAGCGAGGGAGGGGCGGCTGTTAAGTCCAGAGGATAAGCCGGTTCCTCCAGCTAAGCCCACGATGCCA